AAACAAAAGGCAAACTGAAGCTTAAAAAAAAAATTATAATTTCTGAAAATGACCTGTATGCTTAAAGGTAGAGAGTCACTTGGAGGGAAGCCAAATGCTTAAAGCTTCTGGTTAGTCATCCATCCATCCTCCAGAAAGACATTTCATGTTCTGTACTGGGCAATTAATTCATTAATTGGAATCTACTGGAATCAGTAGAAAATAAAGATTATAATTATATTTAGATATGTGTAGTCATGTTTTGTTTATTGGTTGCATAACTTAGTTTTTTGAATATTCACCATTTATAAACAGGGTGACTATGGTATATTTTTGGTGTCAAGCAGTGTCTGGGGACATAGAAATGCTCTTTTCATAGATATTTTTACAATGATTTAAAAAAATATCTCCCTAGGAAAGAAGAGCTACCTACTATATTTTTTTGAAAGGTTCTCTTTTACTCTGCCAGTTAGACTTCCAACAATTATTCTAATTGTGCTATCTTTTTCTGTATTAAAAAAAAAAAGGCACCATTTGATTCACTGGGGAAAGTACAGTGTTTGTAACTGAATTTTTTTTTAAAGAAATCTCAGTTCTACTGTGAATTTACTGTGCACTTTTGGGCATATTCCTTAACCTCTGTTTTCTTATTGGTGAGCCATTACACCAATGACTTTGCAGTATTACAAAGAAAGCATATAATACATCCTGGCTGATAGTATTGTTTGTAATTGTTAACCTTTTATATAGCTTATGTCTAACAGAATTTGGAACAACTGGGTAAACTGTTCCTCAAAATTTTAACAAGCATTTATCAAGGAATTGTGAGATTAATAACTGTTCACCTCTAGTTAAGTGTTAACAGTATTTAATTTGGCCTGTTATTATATTATAGATGAATAATTTTTATCTCAAGCATACATGTTTTTCATCCAAAAATCTAGAAAATACAGTAGTTCAGAGGTAGAAATACACTGTCATGACTTAGATTAGCAACGCACTATGTCATCTTTGTCTCTGTATAAAAGTCAAAACTTGATTAAAGTTTATTTTTCCTATTCCTTTTTTGCTTTTCTTCTTTTGAAGTTATTTTTCTCCCTTAACTGAAGTGTGGAATTAAACATGTTTGTAAATTTTACTTATTTTAGGATGGCAGTATAACACATCAGATTTCTAGGCCTAATCCTCCAAATTTTGGTCCAGGCTTTGTCAGTAAGTATAAATCTAATAAGTTACCTGTTTTGGGGGCATTGCTATTTGGCTGTACTTGTGTTGTTCTGTGCACTCAAAGCTAGTTCAGGAGTGCTGCCTTAGGCCTAAGTGCCCTCTCCTATCAAGTGTCACTGCCCTGCTAGGCAGCTTTTCTTCAAGGCATGTATTTTCATTGCTTCTTTTTGCTCTGCATGAAGAATTAGTTAAAGATCTGTATTTTAATACAGAAAATTCATTTTCCCCATTCTCTTCAATATATTATTGTTGCTGTTTTCGTTTATAGATCGGGCACTTTACAATCTGTAGAATCAAACCACTTTTTGCTCTCATGACAGTCTACCTAAGTTACAAGGACACCAGACGGGAAAATCAAAGGGAAAAAAAAAGGAGTTGGGTTGCGGCATGATGTGAAGGTCAAGTGTGCAGGATGCCACTGAACCCTTTCTGGTTATCCTCAGGGGTCCCAAGGTGGCTCAGGATAGTATTTAAAGTTCTCCCCAAACTGAACCTTTCTGAAATCTTCAGACTGTTTAGCTAACTTTTTCACCATTATCTTTCATTTTGCTCACCTCTGCTCTCCTGGTTCCAGAAACCAGAAAGGCTTTCCTTGCGGTAGGTCTCATTCTACCAGAAGCAGAACTTCTGAAACCTTGTGAAAAAGCCTGTTCTTGAAAATGCCTGCCCTTCAAATTTAGTAGACTAGATTTCAAGTTCATACATGTACTGGAACTTCTGGGTTTAGGAACAAACCCAAAGTCTGACCTTTTGAAATTCCCCTGTATTAATTATGATTATAATTTGAATACATATTTGCATTAAAAATAAGTAAAGTACTCTAACCAACTGGCTTTTTCTGGCTTTATTGTGCCCATTGGCTTTGGTCGGATTCTTAATGTATGATAATATTCTGTTATCATTGATGTTATTTTCATCTAATGTCCTTCTAGGATTGTATTTATTGATTTCTTTGTCTTGTAGTGAGTTAGAAAGGAATACTCTGAATTTTTCACTATATGAGTTGACCCCGTTTCTTGGACTTGGCATTAGTAGAGTAAAGTGCCCTTAGAAAATAAGCAGGGGAATATTGGTACAAGACAAGGAGATGTGACCAGGGAGATGTAGTGGCAGTTGTAGAAGTAGAAAAGATTTTATTGGATTACTGTCCCCTTCCCCTTGTTTATAGAAATATAAAGTACAAAATTAATTAAAATTGCCAGTTTTTCGATTACACATTTTCTTTACAAAACACAGATTTCGAATTGGTTTTTTCTAGAATGTTCTGCCCCCCCTTCTAATGTTTTTGCTAGTGAGAGATTGGGAAAGCCTTATAAACTGAGGGAAATTAGCATGGGAAATGATTATCTAATCCATGCTCTGGAACTGTTAGGCCTTACTTTCTCTCTTTAAAATCTGTAAAGTTGAAGTAATAAAGTAACACATATATTTTAATATATACTTTGGCATGTGGATTAGAGGATTTGATAGTTCTATAGATATAAAAGCATTTCATTAGATAAGTCTTCTGCCTCTCAAAGATTGGATTTATAGTATTACAAGTATTAAGCTAACCAGTGTCCTAACCAGCATACATTCTGTGGCTTTCATAAGTGTTTTTCTAAAATCTGGTACTTTATAGTTATATGATCTGATGTTTAGAATTTTGCTTTCAATTTTTCTATTAAATATCATGGTGAAATTGTATTGCCTTTACCAAATGGATTTCTGTAATAATCTCAGACTATTCAGAAAATTAACACAGATGAATTTTTTATTTTTCCCTTAGATGATTCACAACGCAAACAGTATGAAGAATGGCTTCAAGAGACCCAACAGCTTCTTCAGATGCAACAGAAGTATCTTGAAGAACAAATTGGTGCACATAGAAAATCTAAGAAGGCTCTTTCAGCTAAACAGCGCACTGCCAAGAAGGCAGGGCGAGAATTCCCAGAAGAAGATGCAGAACAACTCAAGCATGTGACTGAGCAGCAGAGCATGGTTCAAAAGCAGCTAGAACAGGTAAGAGATGACTGTGCAAGGGGTAAGCAGTCAGCATTTGAGATGTTTGGTGTATCACTAAGGACACAAGAGTTCGTCAGTGTTACATGACATGTAGGAATATGTTGCTCTCAGGACTAAACAGTCCTCTCCCAAATGGCAGTCATCAGGCACTTAACTTTCTGAAGGCCACTGAAGGGATTGAGTCTCCTAATTAGAAGGATTGTCATACTCTTCAACAACCCTGGTTTCATTAAAGAAATTCATGGAAATCCTCCACATTAAGATATCATTCTGCAAAGGCCATGGTCCCACACCATTTGAAAGTCTGGCTTGCTCAAGATCTCTTAATATTTTGGGCTTTGCAATATGTTAGTTTATCTTATATCTAGGACTCATTACTGAAACGTGCATCCATTTTGCTGTCATCCACTACATACAGTAACAGATGTTTCTCAGAATGTTCAAAATGGGTTCAGAGCACACTCCTAGGTAGTCAAGTGAGTAACAACTTAGCTTTATGTAAAATCTGTACATGAATGTTTACAGCTGTTCTGGTCCTAGTCATCCAAAATTAGTACCTGTAGTCACAGATACAAGGGAGGCTGAGGCTGGAAGATTTTTTTTGAGCCCATGAGTTCAAGACCACACTTGAAACATAGCAAGACCCCCATCTCAAAAACAAAAACCTGTGGCCCTACAAAATTGAAAAGTTAAAATTAGTAGTTAAAGAAAGTGTGGTATATTTATACAAGGGAGTACAACACAGCCAAAAAAATAATGAACTATTGAAAACATGCAGATCACTTGGATCCCAAGAACATTTTCCTGGGTAAAAGAAGCCATTTCCAAAAGGTTTATATTTACATAACAGTCTTGAAGTAACAGCTTAAAAAGATGAATAGATTATCAATGGCCAATGGTTAGGAAGGGAAGAGGAAGGTGTGACTACAGAGTGATACGAAGTTTTCTCTAGTGAAGCTGTGCTTCTCTTTCTTAACTGTAATGGTGGCTACACTAATTTCCACATGTGCTAAAGCTCATAGACCTGTGCATTAAGTATTAAACTTCGCCTTTGCCAATTTGAATTTTTAAATTAGAAAGAGTCCAAAATATAAATCCTAGAAAGAGGCAGGATATTCAATATAGATTGAATCAGTAAAAAGTTGGAGTGTTCCCTGTATAATAACCACTCTGGAAAGCACCACATGTCTTGTCTTAGTTAATCTGGTGTACAAGGTTTGAAGGAATTGGTGTTGAAACCATTGTACAAATGGGCGAGCCATTTTGGAGTCAGGTGCCTAATCTGAGCATCACTAACCATTAGAGGATGAGGTTGAACTCAGATTTCTTACCTTCAAGTCACTCTACCAAAGTAACATGCCAACACAAAGTGGTTATAATTTGTTGTTTAAAACTAGGACCGGTTGAGAACAAGAGGCTTCTGTTGTCTTAAAATTCACTCTCTAGCCAGGGAGTTAGCTCAGTGGTTCCACCGCCTGTCTTGCAAGCTCATGAACCCGAGTTCAATCCCTGGTATCAAAAAAATAAAAAATAAAATTTACTCTCTGGGCCTCTTTACAGCAAGTAAAATTTCTTTTAGAAGTAGAGACTTGGGCCAGGGATTTAGCTCATTTATGTTGCCATCTGTCTCTCAAGCTCAAGGTCCCAAGTTCGATTCCTGGTGCCAAAAAAAAGTAGTAGAGACTTAAGTGCCAAGAATTTAGCTCAGTGACACCATGCCTGTCTTGCAAGCACAAGGTCCTGATTTCAATCCCTAGAAGTAGAGACTTGTAAAGCATTTTTAGCCCTTTGCTGTCTTTGGTGCATTTGTATAAGATCTTTTGGATGAGAGCCCATTTTTTACATTATCCGTAGACCATATCCTACTTAGAACCTAACATGGCACTTCATTGGGAAAATGAGACATATTTTCTGTTAGGACACAGTTGCCCACAATCCCTGTGTAATATCAGTGAGAAAAGTAATTGGCAGGAATGTGTTTTATAATGGTCTGAAACATCGGGAACAGTGTGGCTGATCACTTGGATGCTTAGATACTGTTGTACCTGCTCTGTGTACCTCTCATCTGCCTCATGAGCTCTCAGCACAAAACTGGTCAGGAGAGGTAAGAGAAGATGATTAGGAGAAATGACTAGACATTTTCAGAAATTTTCAGAAAATATGTTAGTCTGCCTGAGAACACCAAGAAAAGTTGAAAAAAATACTAAAACTACGGTATATTTATTGCAAATATTTATTTATATTGCTAGTATATTTATCGTAAAAAATTAATAATGATTTTGGTAGAAATATACATCATTTTGCATCTCTTCTTTCCGCAGCTTCCTAAATGAGTTAGTGAGATCCTGAAGATGCAGATTGCTTGACTGATACTGTGCTAGTATTACTTTCGTATCTGGCATATTGGAGCACTAATGTTTTGGGAATTAATGAATTGACATTATCATTATATTAAGAGCCTACTTAAAAACTATTCAAAATATTACCTGAGAACTTGTATAGGTTTCATAAATTATGAGTGTGTTACACATCAAATTCATAGAGCTTTATAAATCTAGTCTTTTTTTTTTAACCATGGGGTAGAAGTGTGGCAGAGATGCTAATGATTAATTTGGTTTTAAAATGTGCAATTTTACATGTTTAAGAAGTGAAATCTTAATATGTTTAAATGAACTGTGTTGAATTTCAGTTATCCTAACATTGTCTATTATTGTAACTTCTGAGGTACCATAGTTAGCTGCTTCCAGTGTAGTCCTTGTTTGTTTTATCTTTTTGATGTGTAATTTAGGTCATATGACTTCCTTAATACTTATTTCAGAAAATGTTTTTGATATTTCATATATAAAGAATTTTTACATATACTTTTTTTAAATCCTTAAAATTAAGAATTAAGGCTTATTAATCCACTGTTTTATAATTTTTGCCACTGCCTCAAACTTTTTTTTTCCTTCTACAGTACACTGCTTTCTGTATAATCCCCACTAAAATCATCAGCCAGATGTTTGGTTTGATATGTATGTTATAAGGCCTGGGGATTTAGCTCAGTGGTTCTGCCGCCTGCCTCACAAGTTAAAGGTCCTGAGTTCATTCCCTATGTACCAAATGTTCAATCCCCAGTACCAAAACAAACAAACAAAAAATAGATATCTATGTTATATAAACAAGTAATTACTTTGATTGTTCCAGATTCGTAAACAACAGAAAGAGCATGCTGAGTTGATTGAAGATTATCGGATCAAGCAGCAGCAGCAGCAGCAGCAGCAGCAGCAGCAGCAACAAAAGCAGTGTTCAGTGGCCCCGCCTCTCCTAATGCCTGGTGTCCAGCCCCAGCCACCCCTTGTTCCAGGGGCCCCTCCACCCTCCATGAGCCAACCCAGCTTCCCAATGGTGCCACAGCAGCTGCAGCACCAGCAGCACACAGCAGTCATCTCTGGCCACAGCAGCCCTGCTAGAATGCCTGGTTTACCTGGATGGCAGTCTGCCAGTGCTCCTGCTCACCTTCCACTCAATCCTCCCAGGATTCAGCCCCCAATTACCCAGTTACCCATAAAAGCTTGCACATCAGCCACAGGGACAGTGTCAAATGCAAACTCACAAAGCGGGCCACCACCACGAGTAGAATTTGATGACAACAACCCCTTTAGTGAAAGTTTTCAGGAACGAGAACGGAAAGAACGTTTACGAGAACAGCAGGAAAGACAACGCATCCAGCTGATGCAAGAAGTAGACAGACAGCGAGCTCTGCAGCAGAGGATGGAAATGGAGCAGCATGGCCTGATGGGCTCTGAGCTGGGTAGCAGGACTGCTGTGTCCCAGATTCCATTCTATGGGTCTGATCGGCCTTGTGACTTCATGCAGCCTCCGAGACCCCTTCAGCAGTCTCCACAGCACCAGCAGCAGATGGGCCAGGCTTTACAGCAGCAAAATGTACAAGTATCTGTTAATTCATCCCCTACCCAAACTTTCATGCAAACCAGTGACCGAAGGCAAGGGGGACATCCTTCCTTCATCCCTGATTCACCATCAGTCCCTGGTGGAAGCCCAAACTTCCATTCTGCTAAGCAGGGACATGGAAGTCTTTCTGGAACAGGTTTCCAGCAGTCCCCTTTGAGACCTCCATTTACAACACCCCCAGTAGCTAACAGCAGTCTCCCATGTGGCCAAGACCCTGCCATAGCCCATGGACAAAGCTATCCAGGATCAGCCCAGTCTCTCATTCAGTTGTATTCTGATATCATCCCAGAAGAAAAAGGGAAAAAGAAAAGAACAAGAAAAAAGAAAAAAGAGGATGATGCAGAATCCACCAAAGCACCATCAACTCCCCATTCAGATATAACTGCTCCCCCAACTCCAAGCATCTCAGAAACTACCTCCACTCCTACCATGAATACGCCCAGTGACCCTCCTTTGCAGGGTGAGCCACAGCCTGCAGAGCCAGCTGGCCATCCATGTACAGACTTAGAGAACACACTTCCCAGTGGTGATTTCTCCCAAGGAACTCCAAATCAGCATACTTGTGCAAATTCAGAGGTGGAAAGCCTCCCAGTGGGAACTCCTGCCAAAAGTGAAGAGATAAAACTGGAAAAGGCTGAGACTGAGCCAGGGCTGGGTCAGGAGGAGACTAAATCTGAGGAGCAGACTAGTAGTAAGGTGGAAGATAAGTCTAGGGCCAGTCCTGTCTCCTCACTCCAGAGTCCTCCCCATTCTGCTGGGGCCCCTGTCACCAAAGCAGATTCAGGGAATGAACTTTTGAAACACTTGTTGAAAAATAAAAAGACCTCTTCCCTTTTAAATCAAAGACCCGAGGGCAGTTTCTGCTCAGAAGACAACTACACAAAAGATAATAAAATGGTGGAGAAGCAAAATGGAGCAGAAGGATTGGTAAGTGTGAATCATGGAAACTACAAGGTTCTTTTTCTTTTTTTTAATTGTACTTCTAGCAGATTAGTACTAGCAATTTAATTATTTCAAAACTATTTTGCAGCCTTTTCACATTTTTATCTTGTTGCTTCTTTCTCCATGGAGCCCATGTTTTTACTTATATCCATAAACTAAACTAAATTAATTTACCTTTTTTTTTTTTTTTTGGTACCAGGGATTGAACACTGGTCCTTGTGCTTGCAAGGCAGGCCACCAAACCACTGAGCTAAATCCCTGGCCCTAATTTACTTTTTTTAAAAAAAAAAATTGCAGTTATCACATTGATTTGATCTAACCAAGGCAAAGGAAATAAATGTTGTATGTATCTTTATTGTAAATAAATGTGCAATTTCTGTTAACCTCTTTTAAATACAAAAAATAGCTCTGCACCCGTTAATATTCTGTAGGGATTATCCACACTGGGAATCTGTTATGTCACAGTGTATTGGTATTAGTGCTACAAAATGTAACCTTACCTGTAGATAATATTTCATCTTTGTAGTTTTTTATGTATCGATATTCTACCCATATTGTTATTAACATTGAATTTGCCTTTATTTTTTTATTTGTGTGAAGAGCTTGATTATAAATATACCATCACAAGAATTCCCCTCCCCCAACACCATTTCATTTAACTTCAGTAAGGTGTTTTAAAAATAGGTCTGGAGCCCGGGAATTGGTCTGCTGGATAACCAAAGGTTCAGAGTCATTGCTAGTCCATTTATAATCCTTTGCCTAGGGTGGTTCTCAGGCTGGATTTTGTCATTTTCACATTTTTGTTGAATAGGGGTAGTGTACTTGTCCAGATTTGGAATTCTAGAATTAGCTGGGAGGCCCCTCATTGTGCATATGTTGGCACAATCTTGTCTCTGCCCAAGTAGATCCATGTCAGTTTTGTAAATTTTGGTAATTCTACTTTTCCAGTCATACTTGGCACCAGCAAATTCACTCATCTATCTAGACCAATCTCTGGCTGCTTTGTCCAGGACAGCATTTGTCCTAGGAATTTAGTTTGCAGTCCCCTGAGTATCTCTGTTCTCACCCTTCCATATACAGCTATATGTGGTTACTCCCTTCACTGTTCTCCCTTCTTTTCTGGCCAGTATCCTTATCTTGTAAAACTCAGTTTTGGAATCAGTTTTATAGATACCTTCCTCAGCTCTGTCAGTTCTGCGTACACTCAGATGCTCTGTGCACACAGCACAACTCACATGGCTCCCTGAAGGGTAGACTGAACCTGGCGCGTCTTATCACTAAAATTGTGTGCTATAAAAGAATGTCTGCTGGCATGGGGAAATAGCCACATGTCAAGTTTAAAAGCAGACACCAAAATGAAAGAATACAAGATTATGATCTCTTTTTAAAATGTAGGCATAGATTAAAATTATTGAAAAGATACACAAAGGTTAACTTTTTATCTGTGGCAGGTTTTTGTTTGTTTGTTTGTTTTGTTTTTTTGGTACCAGGGATCGAACTTGCACATGCAAGGCAGGTGACAGCACCATTGATAAATCCCCGGCCCTTGGCAGATTTTTAATCCTTGTGCTTTTCCATGATGACATATTCTTTGAAATGTAGTTATATTTGCCTTTGAGCATACTGGTGAGGATTAAAGATAATGTTTGTAAAGCAGAGAAAGTATCTGATCCATACATACTTAATATGCCTCATCTGTATAAGCCAATTAAGAAATTCTTGGGCCCTGGCTATTCAAAGTGCAGTCCTGGGGGCCAGTAGCCTCTCATGTGGGAGAGTTTTAAGAAATGCAGGATATGGAGCCCCTAGAGAGCACAAGGTATGTGGCATAGCCAGATCCCAAATGATTCGTATTCACAGGAAGTTGAGGGCGCTGCTGCTGAACTCTGTGTGCCTGCCTGTTGGGGCAGGTTCGAGCTTCAGTTGGGGGAGGATGCCCCCACTCTATTCAGTGGTTCTAGGATGGGACTAGAGAAATGACATTTCTTACCAATTCCTGGTCACAAACTACTCTGGAGCCTGTCCTTGGAAAAGCGGGGATCCAGTGCAGGGACGACGGGCAGTCCGAGCCTGCCTCTTTCTTCCTTCTTTTGTATGAGCTAAGAATGGTTTTTATACTTTTTAATGGTTGTAAAAAATCTGAAGAGTAATATTTAACTTTGTAGCGGTGAAAATTGTACAAAATTGAAATTTGTCTATGAATTTTAAGTTTTATTGCAGTGCAGCCAAAGCCATTCATTTAGAAACTGTCCAGCTATTTTTGTGGTACAAGGTTAGTTGGCCCAAGGCTAGAGTCTTGACTCGCTTTGCTCTTTACATACAATCCTGTTATCCATGCTCTGAGCTGTTTAGAATACAACTAGAAAACTAATTTTCAAAACTCCCAAAGATTCAGTGCAGAGTTGATTACATGGTAGATTCAGAAGCTGTCATTCTCTCTAGCAGAACATTGATAATTTTAGGAATAATGAAGCCTGAAGAATATTTTTGTTTTGTTTTGTACCGGGGATCGAACTTGAGAACTTGTGCTTGCGAGGAAGGCAGCGGTACACTGAGCTAAATCCCCAGCCCTATCCTTTAAAATCTTTTTAGGGCCTGGCTTACTCTTGCTTCTTGACTATAAAGACAGAAGTAAAGGAAAGCTTTTATCTTTTGTCATCTATTTCTCTTCCATTCACAAGTACATGGATATTTTAAAGTCATACGTAGGATTGTGAGCTAATTTGAGGGACCAATATAGCTTCTTTTTATTGGTTTCTGGGGTTGACTATTCTCTTGCCTCAGAGGCACAGACTTAGCTATAAATTGACTCAATAGTCCTCATGTTTCATCAGTTCTCCTTCTTATGGGAAACCAAAAATAAACCACCAGAATCATGTATAGAGGCATCCCTGGCTAGGGGCACTCATCCACTGTGCCTAGGAGCTGGAATCGGGGCAGGCCCTGGTGTAGGCAGCATGACAGGTTATGGGTGAAGCTCATCCTTCGGAGCTCTACTCCTTCCTCAGGCCTGCAGCTGAATAGTTTTCAGGCTTGAAAATAATCCCTGAAAAGGAGGATAGTATTTTCACAAGATGTTCAGAGTCTTCTACTATGAATCTTTTCAACTTTGGTACTCTGTTAGGAAAATGAGTCATAAGATGGAACTGCTCTAGCATGAACTAAGCATCAATCATGTGGATGGTTCACTTATTTCTTACCCTTTCCAATTATATCAGCAAACTATGGGGGTTCAAATGCAAGGTGGTTTTGGATGTGGCAACAACCAGTCAAAAATGGATGGAGGAAGTGAAACCAAGAAACAACGAAACAAACGGACTCAGAAGACTGGGGAGAAAGCAGCACCTCGCTCAAAGAAAAGGAAAAAGGATGAAGAAGAGAAACAGGCCATGTATTCCAACTCTGACTCCTTCACCCACCTGAAACAGGTAAGTCTTTTAGCATAGGCCCTTTAAAACTTGCAGGAAGTAAGAGCAAATGCTTCTTCAGCCATGTGAAACTGAAACTTTCTCTTCTCTTTATTGTAATAATTTCCTGATTAGAAAGTTAGGGGATAAAAAACATCTGGACATGGAACCTAGTAAACTTACTGTTTCTTAGCAGAATTGCACCTTATCTTATTGACACCTAAAATTTATAGTATTGTGAATGGATTGGTAGGTGATGGTCACAGTTTACTGAAGTTCAAAAGGAGCAGCCTCAGTACCAGGACAAACTCTGTCCCCATTTCTTATGACTCTGGATTCAAAGAAATGAAGCCACAGGGCCCTCCCCATCTACTCAGTTCTTGAACCCTTATGGTTGTTACCGAAGGGAGAGACAGCCCCTAAGTGCCATCAGTGGTGCCTGTTCTCAGTACGTGCCTTGTTCTTCCTAGCAAAGAGAAGGGGAGCGTGTTTTTCTTGTGAGCCGCCTGGTGCATCCCTTTAGGTTAGATGGGAGTGAAGCTTCTCGGGAAGTGTAGCCCAAGAGATTCTGTAGTTTCTCTCACTCTAGCATTTTGATACGTGAAATTTTTGTTTTGTTTTTCTCAAGTCTTGTTTGACTAAGTTGCTTCAGATCTTAGGAAGTTGAGAAACACTCAAGTTTTGTTTATCATGTACATTACTTTTAAATGTGTTTTTTAATAGCAGCTCTCTCTGCTCCCTCTAATGGAACCAATCATTGGAGTGAACTTTGCGCACTTTCTTCCTTATGGCAGTGGCCAATTTAATAGTGGGAATCGACTTCTAGGAACTTTTGGCAGTGCGACCCTTGAAGGGGTTTCGGACTACTATTCTCAGTTGATCTACAAGGTATGTTGCTTCGCCAGGTGTCTCCTTGATCCATCTCTGGATGCCTTGTCACAATTGGTAGAGCATGTCTTTTGGATCTAGTGTACATCTAAGCTTCTGAGTCTCACTAAAACTTAGTTCAGCTATAAGCTTAAAGTTTTACCTGGTGAGATGTTTCTAACATGAACATTTGAAACTCTGTAAGTAAGAATTCACATTGTGAGAAATACACGTTTCCATTGTAGAGGAAATAGATGCTTCCTTATAATCTTTACTGACTCTTAAAACGAATCCAATTTGTAGTTAATTGTGAAGAAAAAAATGGAATGAGGCTTTTACCTTGAAAAATGACACTAAAAAGTTCTAATGATTTAGGTACTAATTGCAAGTATACACAAATTCCTAGACTGTTGGACTAGTATACAGCCAACTCAAGTTTATCTTTTGATGTCACTTTTTTTTCTCATTGAGTTTATTGGTACATTTTAGGTGTACAGTGTAGTTACATTCATCATTGGGATCTTGTACCTTTACATGACAGGTCTTGGTTCTCATTTTTTTTCCCCTATCCCTGCCCTCCCTTCACCCCTTCCTCCCTTCCCTGTTTACAAATACTTTACTTCTAATTTTTCATTTTCTCATGTTTTTTTTCTTTTCCTTTATTACCTTTCCCCTACTCTTCCCACTTCCCCTACACCTTTAGCCCTTTTCTTCCTATTTCACATTGTCAATTATATCATTAGGATCTTATGTACCATTATAGTTTTTCCACACCAGAGAAACTATTCAGTATTTATACATGTGTGACTTATTTATTTTTCATGTCACTTTTCTAACAAAGTTTTATGATAGCATCATACATCTGACTTATGTAAAAAGATCATTTTTACAAAATATATGAGGTATCAGTTTTCCTGAGGGCTTCTCTTCTGCCTTTAATATGAAAATAATTCTTTCCATGTTCCTTTTTTGTCTTTGTTGGCTGTTTTTCAGTTAGAACTCATCTCAATGCAAGCTGTGCTTCAGTCTCAGGTCATTGTCCTTAGGAAAGCCTGTCATCACAAGACTTGTCATTTCATCTTGTATTTGATTTGTATGGTAGTTGTGATAGATTCCAACACCCCTTTGGAGACTAAAATCCATGATAAATTGGTGACAGATATTAACCTAGGAGAGATATTTGCAAAGAACAGCATTTGTTTTGTTTTGTTTTATTTTGTTTTATTTTGTTTTTTGGTTTTTTGAGACAGGGTCCCACTATGTAGTTGAGACTGATCTGATACTCATTATGTAGCCCAGGCTGGTCTCGAACTCACAGCGATCCTCCTGCCTCAGCCTCCCAAGTGCTGGGATTACAGGCGTGTGCCACCATGCCCCACACCCGGCTTTAACTGCATTTGTTAATACATATATTTAATCCTTTTTGTATTGTTGTTGCTCCTTTTACTTCTTTTAGACATCTTAACCCAAATTCTAATATCTGAGACATGAATTACAATTACTGGTTTAGAGTTACAGATTCTTCAATTTTTCATACAATGAGGGTTATCTTACTGAAAATTGAATAAAGAAGTTTTTGAAAACTTTTTACAGTTTGAGTGCATTTTAAAGTTGTTCACTAGCTGTTGTAACAAACTTGAAAAGAGTTGCATAAAAGAATCGGACGTAATGGGAATTTGATTTTTATTTGAAAGCTAAGTACTCAATCTAGGTCAAGTAAGCAGATAAATAATAATATATCCACAGTCATGAGTGGTTCTAAAATCTTCCTGTCCTTATATGTGTATTTTTCTTTTTGGTATACATGTGGGGAATGAACATACATCTTGATCGCATTTCTGTAGCCTTGCTTCCGTGTGTTAAAAATTCACAGAACTAGGTTTTACAGGGTCATTGCATATTTGCTCAGTAGCATATAATTTAAAATTTTTTGGTCTCCTGCAGCAGAATAATTTAAGTAATCCTCCAACACCCCCTGCCTCTCTTCCTCCTACACCACCTCCCATGGCCTGTCAGAAGATGGCAAATGGTTTTGCAACAACTGAAGAACTTGCTGGAAAAGCTGGAGTGTTGGTGAGCCATGAAGGTATGATCATAGCCTCTGTTTTACATTTTGAATGTAAAACATTCAATGCGCCTCTGCCAGTTGTGTGTGGTGGAGAGGCTTAGAAGGCAGAGTTCTACCTGGTTATCAGCTTTGAACATACTTCCAATTCTGCTTGTTTGCTTTTTCAGTTACCAAGACTCTAGGACCAAAGCCATTTCCACTGCCATTCAGGCCACAGGATGACTTGCTGGCTAGAGCTATTGCTCAGGGCCCAAAGACGGTGGATGTTCCAGCTTCACTTCCAACACCACCTCATAATAACCAAGAAGAATTAAGGTAAAAGCTACTTTTCTCTCAGTTTTTAGTAATTTTTAAATGTAGTTAATGTGTTCAGGAATAGTGTGTAAAACACTTAGGGAAAATTTGGTAATATTGTTAAGAATATAAATTTTATAACATTGTAACTATTACACATAATTAGTTTTGTACCTTTTAAAATATATAATTTATTGAGTTCACCATATGATTATAGAATAGACATTAAGACAATAGAAAATCTCCACGCAAAGTGTTTTAAAGATCATTGTGTCCTTCAAGAGTGTTGGTGTGACTTATTGAATGTACTGATGTTCATAGGTGTCTAGAAAGTGAGTACAGTAGTCACAGATGCTAGAGTGCTGTTGTGGAAGAAAGATACTCCTGTGCAGATAGGTTGTAACCAGTGCATATAAATTGCTGCACATTTTTGTCTTTACCTTGAAAAAGCTGTTCTCCTTATTAATGAGATATCCATTTAATCTAAGTCCCATAGTTTATCAAGAAAACCCAGTTGAGGAGCAGTTAGTCCAGGTTTGGAATCAAGACCTCCTTTTTCTTCTGCTCACTTCTGGAATCCCCAACACATCAGTAGGCAGGATAGCTCTTTGCAGCAGCTGTGGAAGGCAGCTTGCTCATTGTGTGTGGTGACCTAGTTCAGATGTCTGCACCTCCCCTGGATTTCACAGGATACTCTTTCTGGTCTCATCTCATCAGCATGACCAGGAGAAAATTGAGAACAATCTGTAGCTCTTAGCCTGAGACTTCAGCGTTGTTCCACTAAACTTGAGTATCGGTTCAGAATAACAAGTGCCTACAAAGCCACAACAACCAAGGTTTCCCCCATGTTTCCACTCACTGTAAGCAGTGCAACAGGACAGCTGTTTTCACAGCCATTTGCATGCAGATGTGATCCCAGGTGTATGCCTAGGGCCTACGCTGTTTCTGTTCAAGCAGCAGGAGGCTGGCTTCCTTTAGGCTCAGTGGCCTGAGATTTTGCAGAGATGTTAGTAGCCATTCTTTGTAGGTTATGTTATGAACCAAGCAGCTTCCTCTTTAGTAGGTCTTTAAACTCTGATGCTAAAGGTTTGGTCATAAAAAACAACCATTTATATTATAGCTAAACCTGACTACTGTATTTCTTCCAAGAGATTTCTATTTACTGATGTCCCAACTGATGTATTTGCTCTTTCTATTAATGATGTTGTGGGACTCATGTGGTTGGTGCACAAAGCCCCTGTGCTAGGTTTGCACACTGTGATGTGTGTGTTCCTCTTCTAGGATACAGGATCACTGTGGTGACCGGGACACTCCTGACAGCTTTGTCCCCTCGTCCTCTCCTGAGAGTGTGGTTGGGGTGGAAGTGAGCAGGTATCCAGATCTGTCCGTGGTCAAAGAGGAGGCTCCAGAGCCGGTGCCATCACCCATCATTCCAATTCTTCCTAGCACCACTGGGAAGAGTAAGAATACTTTGCCTTACTACCTGCCAATGTAGTAATATAAATAATTTGACCTCAAAAAGCCATCAGCACATCTTTTTTTTTCTTTTTCTTTTTGAGGTTCAGAATCAAGAAGGAATGATGTCAAAACTGAGCCAGGCACTGTATTTTTTTCATCACCTTTTGGTTCATCCTCAAATGGTCCCAGATCGGGTCTCATATCTGTAGCAATTACCCTGCATCCCACCGCTGCTGAGGTAAAAGATGAAATGAATTCTTAATGCTACGGAGTGTTGTTAAAGAGGTATCAGTGGCTAACAATGAAGCACAACCCGCAGGGTCAGTGAAGACAAGATAAGGGGCTGCTTTTGAGTACTGTCATTAAGCATGAGATTGATCTTGGCCTAAGTTAAGGCACAAAGGGAAGTTAGCACTCACGTGATCTTATTAAAGGGTATATAATGTAGAGAACTGTTTAAAGAGTAAACTTTTCATAACTGGTAAACTTGTAGAAAATGAACCACTGAGAAGGAACATTATCACTAATAAAAATTACAGAAGCATGAGAAATGTTCTTCAGGTAGTAGCTGCTCATGCCAAAAACACCACTGATTTGCTGAGAATTTTTTTAAACTTTGAATTCTGCAAAAACATTAGCGATGGAACTCATGGTACAATGGCATGACATTCTGAGTCTACAGAAAGCAGCAGTCGCATAACATTTGTACATTCTTGTGCACTGTTTCAGACCTTTGGTCATAGGTATCTTAAAAGCCTGTGGCATAGACACTGTGGCCATGAAAATTGACAGGGTTAGCTCATCCTTTGTGGTTGTGCTGTTTACCTCTGTCCACTGTTGAAACAGTTAAACCTGTTGAATGTGTCCCCAAATATTTTTGTTAATGGGAATCTCTTTCTGCAGAGTTCTGTTATGAAGGTTTGATTTGTGTATTTATTTGTCCATTAAAACAAATTTCCAATGAGTCTCAAAGGCCAAATAAAAGTTGTGTTTTCTTATACTGTGTGTATCATGCAGGTCGCACTTATCCTACCTGTGTGTTTCTCTTCCATGACTCATTTTGCCTCTGGGGTGGGTAACAGAATGTTTGCTTTGTTTTAGAACATCAGCAGTGTTGTGGCTGCATTTTCCGACCTTCTTCACGTACGAATTCCTAACAGCTACGAGGTCAGTAATGCTCCAGATGTTCCACCCATGGGTTTGGTCAACAGCCACAGAGCAAACCCAGCTTTGGAATACCGACCACATTTACATCTCCGTGGACCTCCACCAGGATCTGCAAACCCTCCCAGGCTAGCAAGTTCTTACCGGCTGAAGCAGCCTCACGTTCCATTTCCTCCAGCAAGCAGTGGTGAGCTAGTTGCTTTTTGTTAATCCCAAATCCATTCTTGATTCAAAAGTTAAGTTTATTCTTCTTGAAATTGCAATTTCATCTTTAACAAGTAGTGAACGTTACATTAGTGTATGACTCTTGATAAACCAAGTTCCTCTGAGTATTCTATTTTTTGTGGTGTTAATGTGACCTTCCCTGCTTTGAGAAGCCCTGTCATGCTGATGACCAGGAAGTGTTGGAGTGCAGCTCTCTGCCTTCCTTGCTTCTCTTAAGCAGTTCTGTCTTTTGCATTCCTGAGCCCAGGCCATTGTCTGACTACTCCACTGGAGCAGATGGGGCTAGATACCTGGCATGTATTGTTCTCTTGTTCTCTGCCCTCTGTTTGCCTTATACCACCTCCCCAAGGGCCCTCTCTTCCCCTCAAGGTTCTTGTGCCCTTACCTCTGAACTCACCTTTCCTTCCTCAAGCTAATGTGATGTTTCATTGGCATCTCACACCTGTGCTCACCATCTCCTTATAACCAGTTCCCTCATAATTCTCTCTTTCTTTATTCTTCAGGAATCTAGCAGCTTCTCAGTTCTCACCTTTGAACTCTTTTGACAGTTGCTTATATTGGAGTTTTGAAGTCTTAAACTCTAGCTCCTTCTGTTGCTGATGTTTTTTTCTGCCTCCTTCCTTCTCTTTTTGCACCCTGCCTGAGTGATGCTCTTTAAGGAAACCCTATGCCTTCTAATCCTTTATTTGCATTATCTTGGGCCTGGATCTTTCCTTATTTCTGTTTGATGTTCGAAGTCCCACTACTTAAGCCTTACACACATCTCTCTTCCATAGAATGTTTCAGTATATCTGACCCCAGAGGAATAGCAATCTCTCTTCCCCATGGCTGACTGTGCACTTGGACTCAGCATTAATATACCTTAGTGATTCTAGTCTTAGGACATTCTTTCTTGCTAGCATTATTTTCCCAGCAGTTTGAGAATAGGCATTTTTTTTTTTATTGGTACCACATTATTTCAAAACAGATCCTTGTAACCATCACTTAGAAGAGACTTTTATAAATTAGAGAGCCATGTTGTAATAGGTCTACTGCATAATGTTACACCAGCACCACTGGTGTCATTACTAACCAGTTGGTTGCCTGTAGGTCTCTCTGCATACAAGGATTCCAGTCACGGTGTTGCAGGAAATGCAGCTCTCCGACCACAGTGGTGTTGTCACTGCAAAGTGGTTATTTTTGGAAGTGGTGTTCGGAAGTCTTTGAAAGATCTGGCTTTTATGAACAAGGTACTGCATGCATATTGTTTTCTAACCAACTCCACCTACAGGATGTGTCTGTCAAAAAGGGGAGGGATCCTTCATGGTATAGGATGGGCCTGACAGTTAGGGTCAGCACAAGTTACAGTGCTTGGGTTTGAAGCCAGATCGTGGCAGCAGAGTATTCCATCGTTTGTGATAAGGACCCTAACCCTTTGTAAAACAGTGCAAGTGGACAGTATAGTTTGTACATTGTGCTAATCCTTTGGACATAGATACCACCTAACTGTAAAACAGAAGACCCTTCTCATTTGTCAGCATAACAAAAATCAAGTAGGGCCAGCGATGTAACTCAGTGGTATCGCACCTGCCTGGCAAACACAACGTCCTGAGTTCAATCCCCAGTAAAGGGGTTGGGGGTCAACTCTGTAGATCTGTTTTTATTATGTTGTGACTTGTTGAGATTTCCCACTCATTTCTCTTTGTTTTTCAGGATTCCCGAGAAAGCACCAAGAGAATCGAGCAGGACATTGTGTTTTGCAGTAATAACTGCTTTATTCTTTATTCATCTGCACAAGCAAAAAACCCAGAAAGCAAGGTAAAATTAGGACATCTCAGCTCAACAATATATAATGATTGATTTCTGTGTTCTGAGCACACATTAGTGAATAAAACAGATGTATGCCCTGCTTCAGTGCACTCCATGTGGGAGCTCCTAAGCAAGGCTGATCAGGTGATAAAGAGGGATCAGAAATAGACATAGCCTACACTGCTCTTCCAGACTCCGGATGGTGTTTGACCATGGTAGGTGGTCAGTGTCAGACTACATTTTAAAAGTTCAAAGTTGAATAGAACATCAATACTACAGTCTTAAACTTAACTAATTATAAGCATTTTGATTAACAATAAAAATTGCTTTTATTGATCTTTTCTCAGTATGAAAACCTGTTCAGAAACAGAACTTCAGTCTGTTCATGCATTAGGAGAAAAAGCATTTTGTTCATCCTAAGCTGCTTTGCTTGGTTTTTTTTTTTTTTTTTTGGTACCGGGGATTGAACTT